AAATGAAAAGGAAATGACCAAGACCTCAGTTAGAATATTTAATTAAGACCAGTTGAATTATTTATGTTAAGGGAGTCAGCTCATAAGAATGTTTTAGAAGCTACTTCTTAGAAATTTAGTTATAAAATGTTAAAAGCTCTGTTACAACTCTTCAAAATCTCAGCTTCTTCATCTCCTGCCTTCATGCCCCATCCTCAGAGATTAGCCAATTAAGAACCAGCCAATATACACAAACACAGAGACCCCTTGATAATGCAATATCCATGGTTACTTAATCATCATTAAAATGGTTTTAAAGAAAGTTAACATGCTAATAGCATCAGTGGTAACAAGCCCCATTTATTTTTCACATTATGTGAATAATTAGTGGGCAGAGCTCTCTGTCTGAATGGGGCTTTATTGTCTCCGTGGGTGAATATCCTGCAAATTCAATCCCCAGCTTTGTCACACCTTTCTGCAGAGTACTGGGGAGTGGGGGGCGGGTGGGCAGGCGGGTGCTGAGTACCAACTGCAAATGAGGGTGGAGATACAAGGAGGAGGGAAGAGAATTTGGAGGGGATCAGATAGAAGCAAAACAGAAATCAATAGGCTTTGACTGGAATCTATGAATTTGAGTATCTTTTATACCCAGGAAATGTTTCCAGTGGAAAAGAAAGAAATTTAATAGATCAGTGTCTGAAAGGAGGTTGCATTCAAAGGCATCAGGAAAGTCTTGGGTTGGCCAACACACCACCAGTTTGGAAATAAAGGGTTTAGCAGCTGTGGAGATGCACAGCTATCATGAGCTGGGGAGAGGAGTTCCAGTAAGGAAGCATCTGAGGGTGTTCCAGGTCCAGCTTAGGTTTCCACAATGCCCACCAGGAAGAGGGGGCCCCAGACAGAGCCGACTGCATGCACACCAGCACCCTTACAGGGCCCCAGGAGCAAGCTGCTTTGATGAGCGCAGCAGTGAGGATGTGGGAATAAGCCAAAGAGCTTCCTTCCCTTTGCCCTCCCGTGGGCTGGAAAGTGGCTCAATGGACAATCGCCAACTCCGAAACCACAAGTCTAGAATTCCAAAGCCAACGCCAACAGAGAGAATGTGGGTTCCAATAAGAAACGTAAGGCAAATGCTCCCATGAGCTGGGGCGAGTCCGTGAAGCCAGGAAACTCCAAGCCACAAACACATCGAACCCACCGGCCCACCATCTGCCTGAGCAGCTGGACCGGCGGAGCCAGCACACTGAGGCAGGAGCTACCAAACCTAAGTCCCTTCTCAGTACCTCACGGAAAACTTTAAGGGAGCTAAAGAGAACGGATGTGAGGCACCTGGGTAGCTATTTTCCAGAAACTCTGTAACAATAGGCCAACGTTCAACACAGTAGACAGCTAATGTCTGACATGTAGTAATAACCACACCACCGAAATACACATTTAGTTCTCCAACCATTATTACTGAGATAATCCCAAGGATATGGTGAAGTTACTAAAAGCTATCACACAACTGAGAGTTTTCTGGAAATTCATTTATTGGGTAATCTGTAGGTACAGCATGTAAATTCTGTGGCAACAATAACTTAGTGACCTAGAAGGATCTCCGGTAAGGAGGGAGGTCCTGCAGAACACAGACACCAGGGAGAGGAAGCTGCAAATTCCCTTCAGTCCAACTACTGATATGGTAAAGTGCTAACCAGGAACACTCCTCTTATATCCAAATGTACACACGCATACAGATACACAAGTATCCTTGCCAAGAGATTTCAGGAGCAACATTATACTTGAGAATCTTCCAAATGATCTCTCAAACACCAAAATCTGAAAACACAGCCAGCTTCTCTGTAGAGACAATTGGTATTTTCTATTCCATATGCCTAAGTTTAAATTAATGTCATGATTATAACCTGTATGATGGGAAGAACTAACATTTGTTGAGCATTTCCAGTGCTCTAGGCACTACAAAATATTCTTTATATATAATAATGAATCCTAACAAGAACCTCTGAAATAAAGCAATAGTTATAATCCCTACTATATCAACAGGCAATCAAAAGTCATAGATTCAAAGTGCATCACCCAGGCTCACCCAGCTAGCAGAGACAGAACAGGACTTGAACCCTCTGGTCCTCTTAGGTCCAGCCCAGTGTTCTTGCTGTATATTTTTTCAAATTTTTTTTCCATAAAATTTTTCTTGGTAAACATTTTGGCCTCCATTGGACCTTAGAGCATATCTATATCTATATTTTACTTTCTATTTTGAAGAGTTGAAGATTCAGAGGAAGAAATGGACAGGGGGGTCCCATGTACCCTTCACCCCATCTCCCCCAATGGTGACATCTTGTGTAACTAAATATACACTCAATATCACAGCCAGGAAACCAGCATTATCACAATCCATTGAGTTCATTCAGACTTCACCAGTTACACATGCACTCAGCCCGGTGTGTTTGTGGCTCTAGGACATTTTACCACATGGGTAGCTTTGTGTATCCACCACCACAGTCAATATTTTTAACTGCGTCACACAAGGTTCCCTCCTCGTGATACCCTTTATTGCCCCACTTGCTCTGTCCCCCTCATCCCTAACCCTCGACAACCACAGACCGGCTTTCCATTTCTGTAATCATGTTATTCCAATCATTTGGGGCTACTATAAATAGAGCTGCTGTGAACATTTGTGTGCAAATGTCTGTGTGAAAATAAGTTTTCATTTCTCTGGCATAAATGCCCAAGAGTGTAATTGCTAGGTTGTATGGAAAGTCCATTTTTTGTTTCAAGAGGAGCTGCCAAATTACTTTTCAGAGAAGCTGTACTAGCTGACATTCCCACCAGGGGTGTATGAGAGCTCCAGTTTCCCTGCATTCTTTGTCCAGGGTTTGGTGTGATCACAACTTTTTATTTTATCCATTTTAATAGATCTATAGCAATCTCTCGTCGTGGTTTGAACTGCATTCCTGGCTGGCTAACGAAGCCGAATATCTTTTCACGCTCATGTCGACTTTGTAGATATCCTCTCTGATGAAATGTCAGTTCTTGTTTTTGTCCGTTTTATAATAGGGTCATTTGTGAATTTTGAGGGTTCCCAAATTCTAAATGCAAGCCCTTTATTGAACATGTGATTGGCCCATAAACATTCTCTAATATTTTGAGTTGGAGAGGGCCTAAAACATAAAATCCAGCGCAGGCTGCAGTCAGTGGATTAAAGGGATTTTCAAGAACTCCAACCATTACCCTGTGCTTTATTAAAGCAGCAGCAGGAAGCCAGGACCCCGCTTTCACAGAAAAGAAGCTAGAGACGGATGCAAGACCAGGAGTATTGTAGGGTAGAAGTGTGAGCCGTGGACAGGACACACAAGAAGGGTCTGCCGGGGAGGTCCCCTGCAGAGGCTCCTGACAGTCCTTTTAGGGCCCAACCCTCATCGCCGCAGCTCAGGCGCCACCTTGTGGGCTCTGCAATCTCAGCAGGGCCCTGGGAAGCGCAGGTTCCTGTTTGGACAACTTACATATTCTCACCCCAGCGTCTCTAGTGGAATTAGCGACACATGGTATTTACTCCCACTTGCTGTGACATTCTTCACAGATGGCCACTTCCAGGAGGAAACCCGGTCTAAGTGGCACTCACTGCCTTATCCTTTGGGGCTGGCAAAACACCAGAAGGATGAAGGCTGGTTGACACACCCCCGACGCATGTGAGTCTCAGGCTAACACTTCACCAACAAGCCTTCCAGGTCTCCTCGCGGGCTGCCCAGCTCACCCGACACAGGTGGGTGTTACCTGCCTCGAGAAGGTGCCGCAGCAGCCTTTCTTGGACTCTGCTTACCAGGATGGACCGAGAGGGCATTTCCCTGGTGTGTGCTACCCTAGCATGAGCCAGGGAAGGCAGATCTCAGCCCTGTCCCGTGTTAGACAGTCGAGAACATCAGAACCCAGAGACGACTAAGGAAAGGGGGGGCGCTGCATTTTTTTATTCTGAATAAAAAATAAAGACATGTTTAAGCCACTTGAAATAAGGACCGTTATCACATTCAGGTCATTGAGCCCTGGATTCTTTCTTACTTTGCAGCCCAAGAACATAAGCAACGTAAATGTGGTGGGAAGAGGGCATGGGGTGGAGGGGAGAGCACGCGCCCATCCCCACAAGGCCCCCTGCCTGAGACCTCTCAGATCACAAGTCACAAAACACCAAGACTGACGAGAACAAGATACTTATGCCAACTACACTGTAGTAATAAAAACTGTAAAAACACGGAAATCTCCCTCTGTTCAAAGGCTGGATGATGTTATTGTATCATCATCCCAAGGAGACAACTATCGCATGATTCCACTTCATGAGGTACCCAAGATCATCGAACGCATGGAAACAAGACGAGACGGTGGTTGCCAGGGCTGCGGGAGGGGAGCATGAAGCTGTTGCTGCTGAGTGCGGGCAGAGTGGCAAGAAGGAGCTCCAGAGCTCAGCTGCACCTGCGCCTGCCCGTCACAATGCTGCCCTGTGCACATGACCTCTGTGAAGAGGGGCTCTCATGTTAATCGTTCTGACCACAATTAAAAAAGTAAAATAAAAAAAATAAAACAAGCAAACTAAACTGTTGAAGCAGTTGGACGTATTCTTTTTTTTTTTTAGAGACTTTATTTGAGAAAGCATGGAGGGGGGAGGGGGGAGGGGCGGAGGGAGAAGCAGACTCCCCACGGAGCAGTGAGCCCAATGCAGGGCTCCATCCAGAACCCTGAGATCATGACCTGAGCCAAAGGCAGACACTTAACCCCATGAGTCACCCAGGCGCCCTTCATTTGGAAGCTTTCTTAAAGTACAGCTAATTCATTGAGATGTCACACATCACCTAGAGTTGAATCACCAGAGTTCATCTATCTGATATGAAAAAATGAATTACATTTTCAATCTTGCAATGGGGAGGAAGCACTGAGAAACTCACTACCATGTTGCATGCGTGGAAAGAAGTCCAGAGACCTGCCAGAAGACACACTAGTTAGGCTGAACCAGGATTAGAATCTAAGTTACTTACCTGGCTCCTCACGACATCGGCATCCTAAATACCGGGCATGTCCCAATGCCTTGTTTCCATGAGCTCTTCAGGCCAGAGGTCAAGGGTTTTTAATGGGCAATGAAACCAGCATTGTCCCTTCCCCAGCCTTGGCACGTTAAAAGCTGAAATCATAAAAGCAGAAACCTCAGCAGATAAGAAGGTGCTCACATGTTTTTATGTAAGGACTTCAAAAACCCAACCTGGCTACTGACTCCCCTGCTCCCCCAGGGCCAGAAAGAGAAGCCGTGAGAGGCATTCCCCCCGTTGGGTCTTCCCTTCCCTGAGGCCATGGAGGAGAGCTACCTGTGAAGGCGGCACGTCCGCCTACTTCCCACCGTTGCTGGAGGCTGAAACAGCTGAGGGCTCTGAACGGCTCAGAGAGGGATCCCCGGGAGGAAGGAAAGAATGGCGCGCCCGGAGGGTGGAGGTGCGAGATCGGGGGCTTAGAGGGGAGCGCAGCTTCACCAGGGGGCCGGTGCCACTGGCGGACCAGCCGGACCAGCCGAGAGCCCCGGCTCCCAGGCCTGCGGTGGGGGAGAAGAGGCGGGAAGGGAAAAGCACTGCGGGGTGACCGCTGAAATCCAGCCGGCCCGCTTGCCCACAGCTCGGTTCAGGGACGAAATCAGAGCTCCACCTTCGGGCGACTTGCCTGCGGCCCAGGAAGTAACACCTGACAGTCCCATTTTAGATCTTCGCAAGCTCTGCCAAGCTGGCAGGCATGGACGTCACTGCTTCGGGACTGCCCTTTGTAACCCCTTCGAGGCAGCAGGCCGAGTCCCGGGAGGCCCTGCACGGCAGCGGGCCGCGCGGCGCACAGAGCGAGGGCCGAGCGCGCACGTGCACCTCCCGGCGCCGAGGGCTTGCGGCCGCGTGTCCTCACGCCGTCTCAACAACCAGACCCTACTCCGCACTGGGGACGCCCGCGCCAATGGAGGCCCCAGCCGCCGAGCCGGTGTTCGCCGAACCTCCGCAGTGCGACGCAGTAACACGTCCTGAGGCCGCGGCCAAAACGAATGCTTTGATGAGTGATGCCCTAGGAACAAGCCTCCTTCCATCCTCGTCACTTCCGCCTTCCACCCGCGGATTCCCAGCTCACCTGCTAAGGTGGAGTCTGGAGGGCTCCGGAGACGCCGGCCCGCAGGCCCGGAAGTGGCGCCTACAACGCCCACTCGCATCTTATTGGCTACACTTGATCGCGTGACCGGACCTCACTGCAGGGGGTGCTGGGAGTTGTAGTCAAATTGCCCAGGAAGAAGGGGGAGTACAGGGGGGTGTCAGCATTGACATGATTTTCCCTAATAACAACTTTTTCTGAGACCACTAAGTACTTCCATGAAGCTCTTCTGAGGCCTGCCTGCGGTGCTCTATGAAATGCTTAGTTTTATTTTTTTAATTTCTTTTAAATTAATTCTGGTTAACATACAGTGTTATGTTAGTTTCAGATGTATAATAGAGTGATTCAATGATTTCATATATTATCCGGTGCTCATCATGACAAGTGCACTGGGGGGCGGGGGAAGGGAGCGAGGGTTTGGGTTAAAGAGGCAATGGGGATTAAGGAAATGCTTAATTTTAGCGATTGGAGATACCCACCAGTAAACACACCGTTTTAATTGTATAGTGCTTTAGAAGTTTTGAAATGATTTCTCAAACATTCTTTCATTAGATCTTCTTGTCACTTCTAGCAGTGTCTACAAACTTCGTTCAGACAAGAATTATTGACTGCCCATTTTCCCAGGCTCTGGTCTGGGCAGGAGGGATGCTTACCAGACCAAAGATGCCCTACCTGCATCATGCCGGCATCCTTGAAGGACAGCAGCTTGTATTCACAAGTAAAACGCAAATCAATGTGCAAGATATTTTCCGATGCTGCTACGACCCCCAAAGAACAAAAACAGGGCAGGGAGATGGAGAGGAGGCTGCACGGGGACAGGTGTTTAAAATGTACCTGGGACTTGTGTTAATCGGGTGTGATAAGACGACAGACGGGCTGTTTATTATTCACAGCTCCCAAGAGAAGAGGGCCTGCTGTGCCCACCAAGGCCCCATGGGGAAGCACCAGGGCGGAGACAGGAGCAGTCAGGGGAGAGCATGGCAGGAGGCTTTTTCGTGGGTTTCACAGGAAGGAATGGGTGAGGCAGGGTAGACACACTGAACAAGTGTAGGACTGGGTGGTATGACTAATTCTGGGCTATAGGGGTCCCCAGTCATCCAGCACCTAGCCCTGGGGGTGTAGGACAGCGGGAATGTGGGTTTACAACGTGACAGATAAGGAAGTGGTTAGGGGTGTGGGCCCGGTTTGTGCTCACAAGCAAGTTGTTTACTTTCTCTAGGAATTAGCTAACCCTGGGAGGGGCAGTCTCTCCAGGATTAGCAAGGCCCCAAGATATCAAAGCGTCATGAAGTACAGAAATAAGAAACATGATTCATATAATGGGACACTAGGTACCTTCACTTGGAGTGGAGGCTCAGCGAAGTCCTCCCTGTTGATACTGCAGAAGAAATTAGAATGCCAAAGAGGTGCCCGCCAACCACACAAAGATGGGGAGGGGGCACACCAGGCAGAGGCAGGAACAAGGTCAGCCCCATCTCAGTGTGCCTGGAGCAGTGAGTGTGGACAGGGGCAGCAGGGGATGGAGACATACAGGCAGGGCTCTGGAGGCCATGGCCACTGGATTTTATTCTGACTGCAAGAGGAAGGCATTAGAGGGTTGTACAGGGAGCAGTGTGGTCTGATTTGCATTTTTAAAAGGTCACTCTTACGGCGGGAGGAGAATGGATTGAATGTGGGCACTCCTGGGAAGCAGCAAGATTGGGTAGGAGGCAGTGTGCTACAGCTTCACTTGGGAAGTGAGACAAAGAGCCATCCCTGCTTTGTTATCTAATGCTGACACCTCGTCCTACCTACACTTTATGTGACTTAGCTCCAACATGGCCTTCAGCAAAGACATTATTCATTTATCACTTTTCCACATAAATCTAAACATTTCCAGTTCTCAAAGTGACCCTCACTTTTCTTGCCCATCTGCTATTGCTGACAGAAAGGACCCCAGGAAATCCAGTCATTTAGCTAAAAACTACCTATGCATTGTCCAGTATATGTGCCCAAGTTTGGTAAATATGAAAAATGTAAGTAAAGTATAGTTTAACCTTGGCCAGACCAGACTAGGAGATCATCGAGTCGCCATCCGGTGCTCTGTGCTCAGCTTGTGAACACGGTAGTAATCCTCCATAATTCACTCTAGGGTAGTCGGTAGGTGCCCTCCAAAGCACAAGGAAGGACAGTCTACAGGACTGCTTGTCATGTGCCTGGGAGAACTGAGGGTCAGTTTGTTGGTTGGTCAGGAGAAGCAAGTTTCCTGCCCACAAAATCCACTGCCATTGTGGTGGGCAGCGGGGCTGGAGAGCCAAGGGGCAGAGGGAGAGCATCCTGGTCTGACCTTGCCGTCTGTGGACTACCCTCATCAGTGCCCATGCTCTGGCCCAGCCCTGCATGCTCAGCGCCCAGGCAGACGCCCGTCTCCCTGGCCAGTGCCTCTCGGAAGCCCGGGCTCTCAGACCAGCAGTTTGCAGCACTTAACCTCCTCTGCTGTCTGACCCCTCGGGGCCTGGGAAATGTCTGTGGGTTCAGAATAAAACACGTGAACAGTTCCCAGACAAGCAAAGCCTCCAATCCAAATCAATGAGGTGGTCATCATTGGAAAAGACCAGAGCTCTGGGGGGGGGGGGGGGTGCCCCTTAACAGCTGGAGTCAACAAATGGGTTTCGAACCACAGTGACCCCAGGTCAGGACACCGGTTGAGGGGACTGCTTCTGTCACAGAAGACAGGCAGCACTAACGGGACACGCCCCCCCCCCCATGATGGCATCTTATGACCACAGGCTTTGTGCTCTTCAGGCTTGTCCTGCCAATTCTCCCCCAAAGGCCTTGAGAGGAAGCCTACAGCCAGTAGTCATGGTCCCTAAAAGCTACACAGAAACCCTCTTTAATAAATCTGCTGCTGGCACTGGGGGTGTCCTGTGCTTAAAAGACACAGAGGAGGAGGAGAGTAGAGCCACCATGCCTCCCGCTCGGTGGCGGGCGGGCTGTGTACTTGAATGCACTGCACTCGCTCTTGACCTGCTTCAAATCAAGCCCAGCAACCGCCCCATAGGTGCTGATTCGGACTCAGGGGAAGCAGATAGAAACTCTCAGAGAGGTAGTCCCGGGAGGGCCAGCAACGCAAAGGAGCTTGGCAAGAATTGTTGCAGAGCTAGTCATTCTCTGCCTCCCTATTTCCTGGAGGTTTCACAGAGCCATTTGATTGAACTTTTGCCCAGCTTCTGCTCTGCATTTGCACATTTCTCACAAACCAGCAAAAATTACTATTCATTGAGAAGCCATTACATGTTAGGCACCATTTCTGGTCTTTCTACATTCTTTGATCCCTCGAACAACCCCGTGATGTGGGTACTCTTTCTATTTCCCGTGGAAACACACACACCGACATTTAAGTAAGTTATTGAGGGCCCACAGCTGGTGTGGTGGGACAAGACTCCACCTCAGATCCGTCTCTAACCTCATATTCTATCCATTGTGTGACATTCCCCTAACTACCCACCCCACCCCACTGCTGACCTTGGTCCTGAATTTGGCTCAGAGCCTGGATTCACCAACCCCTTCCAGGGTCCTCTTCCCTAGGTCTACAGCACACTTTTGCTTTTGGCCTAATTAAGAGAGAAATGTTGGACACATTGATGGTTAAACCTGATGTTCTTTTATGGAAGATGGGATGTCTTGCATGTGGCAGTGACATTCCACAACTGGAAGCCCGCAGAACCACAGAAAAACAGTGGTCACACAAGCAATGAATGCCTTCGGACAGATTCCCAGGCTCCCTGGGATGTGATATGGTCCAAGAGTGCAGTCTTCCCTACAGCCCACAAACCTCGTGGGCAAGGATGTGCCTGGATAGCATCCGTGAGGACAGAGCCAAAATTTCAATGCTTGGAAGCAGATGTTTTATTTTCAGGAAATTTATATACTATTAGCAGTTCCAGATTCCAACAGGTAAAACCAGTGGATCAACTTACAACACCTCTGTTCCTTTACACCTGTAGGAAGCCAATATGTACTATATTTGAGTGGCCGTTTCCCTGCTTTCTCAATTATTGAGAAAATCTGCACTTAAAAACTGGCTAGTATGTGCGTCAAGAAAATGCAGGAATTTGAACCCTGCTGACACCTGTCTTATCAGAGTGACTATTTCATTTAAACATTTTGCTTTCCCGTGTGTGGAGTCAGTATGTTCCTAGAGATCCTCTAACCCAAATCCCTCATTTCTAGAGATGAGGGAATACAATTACAGACAATCCATGAAGTGAAATAAAAGTCACAGTCAGGTATTATTTACAACTTGTGAGGAAATTCTTCTGTCTTCAAGAGAGAACGGCATTCCACAGCTGGCTACGTGCGCTTTTGCAGCATTTCTGAGGGGACAACTGCGGAAGTTGTGTCGTGGTAAGCTTAAATACATTCTGAATTTTCGTCCAGTGTGAAAGGAAACTAGAACTTTGCATTGAAAGACCTTTATAAATCAACAAGCAGAAAGAATCAAAAACACCTCAGTAGCAACACAGCTCTGCGTACATATTACAAAAATTACCTTTGAGTGATTAATTTTTGAATTACTAAACTTGGAAGAAATACTATATACTCTATTCATTTTATCTTCAAGCTTTGCCAATTTCAAAAGAAAATATTTTAAGTAGCTAGTAGCACATTTCTTGATTTTGATTCTTGTTTGTCTAGATCCCACAAAGTAGTTCTTTCCCAATTTCTAGAAGAGGCAGCTCATGTTCATCATCCTTAAAAATACAGCCAGATGACTTATCTGGGAAGAGGAGATTTCCACAAACGTCTCATGGTTTGCTGTTTTAGAGCTTACAGTGTTGTGTTTTCATCGTGAATCAGCATCTCTTCTCCACCGGTCTCTGTATGTCTTCAATGTCCAGGGGCCATTCTTCCATCTTTTGGCATCTTGGTGCCTGGCACACTGTCTGGCTACAA